TTGTTGTTGTTGTTGTTGTTGTTGTTGTTGTTGTTGTTGTTGTTGTTGTTGTTGTTGTGTGTTGTTGTTGTTGTTGTTGTTGTTGTTGTTGTTGTGTGTTGTTGTTGTTGTTGTTGTTGTTGTTGTTGTGGTTGTTGTTGTTGTTGTTGTTGTTGTTGTTGTTGTTGTTGTTGTTGTTGTTGTTGTTGTTGTTGTCGTTGTGGTGGTCGTGGTTGCCCCCTCTGTGACCCAACATTGGCAACCAAGCAAGCACACGTCAAAATTCCGCAAACATGCAATGACACACACACACACACACATATACACACACCCGCACGCACACGTCCATTGCAGGAGCGCACCGATGCATTCAGCGGCGGTGCCGGAGAGGGCGCCGTTGATACAGACCGTCGAGCACACGCGAATCCACCACATGCGATCGTTCACATTGCCATCAAACGTGCTGTTGATGCCTAATGTGCGTGTGAATGTGTGTGAGTGTGTGTGTGAGTGTGTGTGTGTGTGTGTGTGTGTGTGTGTGTGTGTGTGTGTGTATGTGTGTGTGTTCACGGCCAGTGGAGGTGAGGGAGAGTGAATGGGATGCAGTAAAGCCACGAACAAGCGCTGCAAGCTTCGTTCCACCACCACCACCACCACCATCAACACCATCAACACCACCACGTCGTGCTTGCATAACATCACCCCACATGCGGGCTGTACCTGTGATTGCCTGCCCCGGGGCGGCGTCGAACGCAAAGTCTTGCTCAAAGTCGGAGAGCTGCATCCAGTAGCAGCTGGAAAACTCGGCGCCTTTGGAGATATAAGTGGAAGGCGTGCACAGGGGAGAGCACAGGCGGTGGTAAGCGAAGCAAGGAATCTGATGAGGATCCGAGTTGTGCCGTGCCACAACACGTCCGCACACAAAGATACGCAACACACGCATACACATGGCGCACGCAACACCACAATGCCACACACGACGCTACACAGATATCACACACACACACACGAACATGTGCACACCTGTCACGTCGGTGCAGGCAAACAGCCAACGGCGATCCATGCGCACGTTGCTGTTTTCCGAATCCATCGCCGACAAGTCTGTGTTGTGTGTGTGGTTAACACAAGAGCGGGACGTGTGATTTATGGCAATGTCGCGTGCTCGTTGATCAGATACTCTCATTGAAGCACACACACACACACGCACACACATGCACACACACACACACACACACACACACATGCACACACACTCAAACACACACACCAACACCAACGCACGCACGCGCATGTTGCACAAGAGCAAGGGACGTACAGGCGTTGTCTGGGCATTGGTAGAAGACATCGTCCTCGTAACTGAACTGGGATGAAAAGTAGATGGCGGGCGAGGTGCTTGGTGTCGTGCCGACCGGTTGACACGTGATGGTCCAGGCGCGATCGCCATAGCCGGCATCAAACGTGGTATGCAAGTTGCGGATGCCTGCAACCAAGGACCATGTCGCGGTGAGCAACGCGCCTCAGTTGCCTTTGCCTCAGTTGCTTTGGCCCCCGTTGCACCACGCACACACACGCACACACACACACACACGCACGCACGCACACACACACACACATGCACACGCACGCACACACGTAAGCACACACACGCACACACACGTACGCGCGCACACACACACACACACACACATCATGCATACCTTCTCCGGATTGGCAATACGCGGCCAATGATTGATCATATTCTGCACAGTGTGCAAGAGTGCGTGTGGGGTTGGGGGATGAGGGCAAGCAAGCAAGCCTTGGTTGGTTGGTTGGTTGGTTGGCACACCAGCACGCATATCGATCGTCGCATCAAGCAACCAGCACACACACGCACATACTCACGGCTGGTGACGGTTTGGTCGGCGTGGAGTGGAGGTGACAGGAGGAGGAGGCAGACGAGGACGCCAAGGACGCCGGCAACCATCTTGCCGTGCGCACTCACAACCCCATGCGGCGAACGCGACAACATGCCGTGGCGCTTCGTTGTCTTTGAACAGGTTGAGAGCAGATGTGTGTGTGTGTGCGCGTGAGACGCCGCCGATGTGAGTGGGTGGCGAAAGGGTGCTCACCCCCGTGGAGCCTGGTGTTACTTGTGCTTGGTGGTGGTGGTGAGGGGGTGCGGCGTTCCGTCTTTGTGGTGTGCGAGCCGCCTCACACGACATGCGGGTGGCAAAGGGTGAATGCGTGTGTGTGAGGGTGGGGGTGCTGTCAACGAAGAAGCAGCAAAAAGCACTCTTCTCTTTTCGCCAAACATTGACGACAACGTTTATGTGGGGGCGCGTGTGGTTGTGGGGCCAAAAAGCACATTCGAGCCGCATAACGAATTCGCTGCGCCAACCACCAGCAACGCACTGCAAGCAAGGGTCGAGCCTAGGGGCGAAAGTTGACAGCGAACAGCAGCGAACAGCAGCGAACAGCAGCGATGGCGGGGCGAATTGTTGCAGAATGATGATGGCTGTCCTTCGCCACTAAATCGTCACTGGAAATTTTCGCTGAATCAGCAAAACATACGGCGCACGAGTCACCAGTTTTGAATCGCGCGGCAGCAAGCAAAGCGGAAACACACAAGAGAAAGAGAACAAGAGCGGCAGCGTGCACACGACTTGACACGAAGACCAAGATGAAGCCGCAGCAACGTGGTGGTGGTGGCGGGAAGCAGCCACCGCGGTGGAAGAAGAACAAGACGCACGGCAGTGGCGGTGGAGATGGTCAAGATAAGAAGGACAACGGAAAGAAGAAGCAGGGTCTGAACAACAAGAGAAGAAAGAAGCCGCACAAGGCAGCTGCTGCTGCTGGCAGTCGTGGCGGCGTTCCTCTGGATGGCATGTCCAACTTCGAGCGCCTCATGCAGCAGGTGTGGATTGTGTGCATGCGTGTATGTGCGTGTGTGTTTGTGTTTGTGTGTGTGTGTGTGTGTGTGTGTGTGTGTGTGTGTGTGCTATGGTTACTTTACATGACTGCTTTGCGTGCGCTGTGTGCGTGTGTGATTGCTTGTGCGTGCTTTGCGTGTGTCTTGTGAGGTTGTGCTAGTTGTGCGTGAGCGATTCATGACCTCAACACGTGATGCCGCGCGCCGTTGTGCTCGTGATGAATGCAGATGAAGGATGAAAAGAAGACAAAGGGTACGACAAAGTCAGGCAAGGACAGCAAGAAAGCGAAAACAGCAGCCAAGACCCGATCAAAGCCCAGCAATACAGGTGCAGCACACCCAAAGCAGCAACTGAAGCCGACCGCGTCTGCAGCAAAGAAAACAGCTTCAGTCAAAAGCAAGAGCACCGTGCCTTCTGCACCTTCTTCCACAACGCCAACCAGTGATCAGGCACCTGTCCATCGTAAGGCCGGCAGCGCGTACGAAAACGCAATCCTTGCAAGGTGCGATTGTGTGCAACTGTTGTAGGTCCACAACGGTCACCCCTCTGTCGCTGAACTCACCCACTGTGCTTTGCTCATGTTCATATCATCCCCCGCACGCACACATACGCATTTTGCGGATGGGAACTCTCACACTTGGAAATACACACACTACCATTGACACACACACATACACACACCACCATACACACATACCATACTAACATGCACACGCACACACACACACGAACACACTAACATTCATACCCACACACACACACACACAGGGTGCTGGCCAAGGTGAACGACACAAAGTCTGCAAAGTGGTTTGAGGACGAGGACAAAGACGACAAGGACAGGACACCGGTGGATATTGAGAACGGGGAAGGCGCCAACTGGTGCGCTGCCGTTGTCGATGCAAAGCGTCACAGCACGCAGGCACACACGGGCAGAAGCGGAGAGCTGGCACACAAGCGTGTGAAGCAAGAGCGCGGCGTCATGGTGTCTGCGATGACAACGACAACAACAACCACATCCACCTCGTCATCCTCCAACCGCACTGTGTCGGACGTCAACGGCAACAGCGTAATCACAACAACCACCACCGCATCAGCATCAACAACGATGACGACCAGCGCAATGGTTGGCCTCACTGGCGGCGCCAAGCCCTCAAAGCTGCTGGCGATTGACTGCGAGATGGTTGGTGTTGGCAAGAAGGGTCTGCGGAGTGTTCTGGCGCGCTGCAGCATCGTCAACAGTCGCGGTGACGTCGTCGTCGACACATTCGGTGAGGCCACGCAGAGGAGCTGTGTGTGTCTGTGTGTGTGTGTCTGTGTGTGTCTGTGTGTGTGTGTGTGTGTCGTGTGTGTGTGTCGTGTGTCGTGTGTCGTGTGTCGTGTGTCGTGTGTGTGTGTGTGTGTGTTTGCGTTTGTGTGGAAACCTCTTTCTTTTCATCAGTGTGACACTATGCGTTCGGTCGTTTTGCCAAATCTGCACTTCAGTGAAACCAACGGAGAAAGTGGTCGACTACAGAACACACGTGAGCGGCGTTCGCCCGCGTCATCTCACAGACGGTACACACACACACACGTGCATACGCAAATGTGTGTATGTGTGCTGCTCTATCGTTTATTGGTTTGCATGCAAGCCTGCAATCTCACCACCTTCGCTCACCCCAAGACATACTCCTGCATCCCTTGTGTGTGTGTGTGTGTGTGTGTGTGTGTGTGTGTGTGTGTGTGTGTGTGTGTGTGTGTGTGTGTGTGTGTGTGTGTTCGTGCATGACAGCGCCGGCGTTTGAGGATGTGCGGGAACACGTGAGCGAGCTCGTCAAGGGCAAAATCCTCGTTGGTCACGCCATCAAGAATGATTTGAAGGTACCCACGCTGTGCACATGTGTGTGTGTGTGTCTGTGTGTGTGTGTGTGTGTGTGTGTGTGTGTGTGCGTCAGGCGAGATGCTACAAGCGTGTGCTCTTTCCCCCACTTGTCCTTGATTGCCCTTCATACTCCTAACTCACTGCTTGGCCCCCGTTTTTCTCTTCATGTGTGTGTGTGTGCAGGTGCTCAAGCTGTCGCACCCACGTCATCTCCTCAGAGATACCTCCATCTACAAACCCTTCAAAGCACACGTATGTGCGGTGTGGGCGTGTGTACATGTGTGTGATTGTTCTTTGAGTTGAGTTGTGTGTGTGTGCGTGTGATTGCGGCTCCGGTTGTGGCGGAACCATGTGTGCCAATGCGTGACATTGTTGTTGCGCTTCACCCCTTTTCCTTCCCTTCACACGTACACTTGTCGTCTGGATGTGTGTGTCTGTGTGTGTCTGTGTGTGTGCATGTGTGTGTGCATGTGTGTGCCTGTGTCTGTGTCTGTGTGTGTGTGCTGTGTGTCTGTGTGTCTGTGTGCTGTGTGTCTGTGTGTGTGTGTGTATTTATATGCCATCAGGCCGGTGGAAAGCGCCCAGCACTGCGACGACTCGCCCAGTCCATCCTCGGTACGACGCAGGCAATACACCACACACACGCTGCACACATGGCCATGGCCAAGTGGTCGGGTGGACACACGAGTTTCTGTGTACTTTCACGCACTTGTGCATGTGTGCGTGTGCGTGTGTGCGTGTGTATGTGTGTGTATATGTTTGTGTATATGTTTGTGTATGTGTGTGTGTCGTGTCGAAGGAAACCCGCCAATCCTATTCTCCATTGAACCCTCATTCCACCCCATTCGTTCACCTCCTCCTCCCCTCCACCCCTCATCCACCAATTTCCATCCCCCTCCCACCATCTGCAGGCATCACGCTGCAGGACGGCGAACACGACTCTGTGGAGGATGCGCGCGCTGCCCTGCGGCTGTACATGCACGTGAAGAGCGAGTGGGAGTCACGCGAGTCGTTCAAGTCCCGCGACCCGATTGCCCCGGCTCTCCCCGTTGGCGTCGACGCAGACCGTAGCAACAGTGCAACAGCAACAGCAGCACCAGCACACGCTGCCATTGGTGGCGGTGGCGGTGGTGGCGATGATGATGAGGGACAGTCGGTGCTGATGTCTGCGATGGAGGAGCTGTATCCGAACATTGAGACGGCTGGCGTTGGTGCAAGACCAAACAGCACCAACAATGGTTACAGTAGTGGTTACAACAGGGCGGCGATGTCGGCCTCAGCAGCTGCAGCCGCTGCAGACAAGTTGTTGATGGGTGCAGGGAAGCCCAAGGCGCCTGAGAAGAAGAGATATCGCAACAAGCATCAGCAATGGCGCTACATGCAGAAGCGCAAGAAACGCGGCCTGGCCTGAAATGCTTGTTTGTATTTGATGTGTGCGTGCGTTTGTGTGTGTGTGTGCACGTGTTGTGTGTGCGTGTCTGTGTGTTTGTGTGTGTGTGTGTGTGTGTGTGTTGTGTGTGTGTGTGTGTGTGTGTGTGTGTGTGTG